AAGGTTGCCCTTCTGGTTGTCCTTGATCACAATATTTCCAAGCACGACGCTGCGACACCGCTCAAGTTGGCAGGGAAAGTCTGCAGAAGGAGATTGCAGTCAATGTAGAGCCGTCCAACCACAGAAAGCGTGGCCACAGGTACGTCCGTTTTGTCCACGGTGGCAATGATTGCTAAGGCGAGGATGCAAATTACAGCTCTACCGGCACAGACCACGTTTTCAAAAAGAGTATCTTGTAGGAGGCGGCGAATGATTGGTCGGACAGGAGCGAGTAAAGGTTGCTTGGAAGCGAACTCCATGATCGCCCTCAATGAGCTCAGAGCCGCTGATTTGCTTCAACGTGCGATTCGGAGCACCCGAGGAGCATGGAGCACGTCCTACAGGTTGCTTAAAAGACAGATTTTTGATCGTGAATCGTTCAAGTCTGCCGCTCTGCTTCCCGAGTTGTCCATTTGCAATCTGATGAGCGGATACGCGATGCTATTATCATGTCAGTCAATAAACAGAGCACAATAATCCGCGGCTAACCTGGGTGACCCTGTGCCTCATCGAAGTAGACCCCAGTCTCCTTGTTCCGCTCAACCACGTTCCCGTCCAGAGTCGCAGCCACGCCGTCTTCTACCACTATGCCGAAGTCGTTTTGTACAATGTGGTTGTCTTTGATCACGTGTCCCTTCTCGCAGATACGCCTCCTGGCTGCCGATTGATCTGGAAAAGAAAAAAAGAATTTTGGCTGCTGACGTTTGCCTTCGTTAAACAGCCGTCTGGGCTGCTTGTTAGAGATAGGGGTACCCCACAATCATCAAGAGAAGCAGTTATTAAATGACGCAGCAGTAAAGACAATTGGATCCTCGAAACCTGTTCAAGGCAGTGAATTCGTGCTAATGTCTTCGTTCTGAAGTCGGATTTGCGCATCCCAGATTGTGTCAATAAAGAAAGCCAGCGATTGACGTAACCAGGCAGGTTTTGCGTTGCCAATACAAATCCGTCAAATTCAAACGGTGCATCAAACGGTCCGCATGCCAGGAACAACGATGTTGAGATGCTTTCAACCGACCATTACCAGGACATAAGGCGGACCGAAAGAGACTTTTCCTCGTACACCCCACGAAAGCGACATGTAGCTGCCACTTCTGATGCAGTTTGAGCCTTCTGACATCCTGGCAAGAAGTGGGCGCATACTTGGACACCGATCGTCGCCGACTGACACAACGGATCTACATAAGGCTGACAAGTCTCATTAAGTGCGACTGTTCCTCAGAAGTGACGGCAGTCGCACTGGGCCCTTCCACCGAAATTTCTTCTATTATATATGTGATAACAAACCGCACCTGGCCCCGATACTTGGTCCGGCCACTCGAGCAGGATTCCCTCCAGGTAATTGTCCGAGATATGGCACCGAGTGATCGTCGCCGGAAGCGCATTGACGGCCACGCCTTGCTGCCCGTTCTCGCGGATCGTGCACCCGTCCACGGACATCTCAGAAGCGCCGTATGCCCAAACTCCCCTATCTGCAGCAATCGCGTATGCTTCAAGTGAGCGAGTCGACAAACTGGCAAGCTAGCAGGACACTGCCGCACAAGAAGCAACCACAGAAGTGCGTCACCCTTCCTGGTCGCACATGATGCACAACGTACTGCCCGGATTGGCGGAACACGCAGAAATGGTGCGGACAGATTGCGGATTTCCTCAATCATCTGCTCTGACGCAGCTCCGTAAGAGAATCGAACGTCAGGAGTTTGCAGAAGCCCGACCACGCTTGTTGTGAAAGGAAAAAAGCAATTGCACCAATAGGAGTGCTCCGTCTCTATCGCCGCAGGAAGCGGGCCTCAGCCGCGCTTTGTAGGAAAATGGATCGACCGGCAAAGCTGAGGATGTCTCGCAAGGAAAGCCCTCTCCAAGAAAGCCGTATATCCAGGTTATAGGAAACAATGGTTTGTCGGTAGCTTCCGATTGATCTGGCTGGATAGCAAGAACGCACTGACGCAATGACTCACCATTTTCTGGAAGGCTGAGATCCGATGCTGCGGGCAACTCAAGAGTTGGACAGAAGGAAAAGAGAAGGGAACAACACAAGCAGGCAATCCACCAGTCACCGGCGGTGCAGCGAAAAACCCCCCTTACAACTAGCTGACGCATCCCAGAAACCTAATCACACTTCAGACCTATAAATTAGAATCTGAAGACACTGAGACGTGCAACTTACCCCCGTTCGACGATATCTCGCAGTCACGGATGGACACGCGAGCCCCCAGGCGGGCCTGGACTCCCGACAGCTCGTGATGGAACACCCGGCACTGCCGCATCTCGCCGCTCGCGCCGTCACCAAAGATCACGCCACAGCCCCCCTGTCGGCCGGTGTTGTCAAGTGCCTTCTTCTTCTTGCGCGCAGCGTCGCCGTTGATGGTGACGCGGTCAAACACTGCCAGGGGAATTGGTGACGTCAGCAGAGAGCGTGGGAAGAAACATGGCAACGTGGTCAACGGCTTAGTGGAGATGTGACGTCAGAAAGAAGAGCCGAAGAAGGGGAGACTTGGCTGCCAAGGGGGACGGCGGCGCAGTGGAGGGTGAATTGGCAACGTGGTGACGTGTTCGAAGGCTGCCAAAGAGGAACAAAGACGTCAACCGAGGGTGTCGAACCGAGAACGGTAATGTGACCGGCCAAAGTAAATGCGACATCAGCAGTTACTGCCAACTTAACCTTGCGTCTTAGAGAACTGAGGAGAATGACGTCAGCGGATGGTGCGAACATAGGCGACAGAGTACCAAAATAGGCGTTTCATTCCGGGCATCATCAAAACTAGGCAGACTGTCTAGATTTTTAGAGAGATGACGCGGGCAAAGGCTGCCACGGAGAAGTAATGACGTCAATGAAAGGTGGGGATGCGAACATGGTGACGTCCAAGAACGGAAAATGTAGGGTGACGAAGTCTGTTTATAGAGTGGCATTGGACTTTGTACAACACCCGGGATCCAAGCAGAGCTAACACTGTCACTCCGTGCGTTCGACGAACTGACGTGCACCAAAATTTCCGCGCTCACCGACGTTTTTAGTGCCATCTCTTACAAAGACCGCCACGGTTTGGTTGGCGTGGTGGCGGTCGGTCGAGGAGTGGATGATGAGGTCAGGGCCCAGAGTGAGCCCCGAGGCGGAGGGCTGAATCTGCGCAAGGACAGGCGAACGTTCACCAATATTGGCAAGCGGACTTGTCGTTCGACTGGAAGACGGTTTCCGCATTGGGAGTGGACGTGCAGGCTGCGTGCAGGTCGGCAGACAGACCCAACACCGTATGCAAGTATGGGAGCCTTTCTAAGATCCGAGTCAATTGACGACTGGCCCGCGAAACTTTCTCTGGCTTGATAAACATCTCTGCCGGGTGAAGCACTGTCAATTTCAAGGCCTTTTCAGTCCTGACTTTGGGGACCGCACCGCGAGTCGAAGGATTGAGGGCAGCTCAAGGGATCGGGAAGCAGAAGCGTACGCATCACTGAACGCGACCGCCAGCTAGTCTTCCAAAGTTGCTCGTCAGCCAGTACAGGAACGCGAACATACCTCGATGAAGGGCATCAGTTCTCCCGGCCCCTTTGACGAGAAGGCCTCCCACTTATCGCACATGAGTGCTGGGAAGTCGGGCTTGCCGCGAATCGTGACGCGCTGATACACGAATAAGCACAGTCGCTTTAGCTGGTTGATCAGATTCGCCAAGAGAATCTTGCAATCACCAAACAAATAGATTCGGGAACCAGTGCACCGTCCGGCACTACTTGTACGTTGCCGCCACGTCTTCATTAGCGCGAGAGTGGGAAGCACGAATGGAGGACTGTGCTACAAGCAACGGGGCTTCGAAACGAACGCCTGCGGAATTTGAGCAACTCACTGTGCCAACGCACACGTGGCCAAACGCCCTTTGAAGCTGGGATTCACGAGAATGTACCAGGAACATACACGCTACGGATGCAGGTTCAGGATCTGGACATGTTTGCGCAACGAATTTGGTCCTCAGCACGCGAGACGTGCCGGTCGTCGTGCTTGTATTCTGAGGGCTTGTGCACCAAATCTGGGGTCAACACAGGGGCGCGTTTTACTTGTTCAAGAACGCAACGAACAACATTGGCTAACCAAAATGCCTGAGTCGCCTTCAACATACAGGGGCTTGAAAGCGGGCCCTAGGATGCAACATCACTTGCTTGGCTCGACAAGGTAGCGGCGACCTCTGACTTCGCATCCCTTCTCATTGTCCAACACTCGGGGTACTTGGAGCCTCTGCAAAATCGTCCAAATCAAGGAAGCGAACAACAAAAACCGTCACCGAAGCACGAAGCAAGCAGCCTAGCATATCTGCTGAAAGGAGTTCTTTTGTCATGCTAAAGCTACCTGGTTTATGCTCAACTACCTTGTTTATGCTAAACCACGCCAGGTCCACCTCGCCCGTCAGCTCAATGATGTCACCGTCTTGTGCTGCCTCCAGTGCCGCCGTGAACGTTTTGATTGGAATGTCGACTTTCACCTGTGGCGAGAGAAGAAGTGATGTTGCGGACTTCGACGACCCAAAGATCGAGCCCTTGAGTTGGGACCTCCTCCGGGCCCTATGCCGCCACTTATTTGGTGAATCGGTCCTGGCGGAGAGCAGATGAAAGCGACAGACTGCAAGTCTGCATTAGGTCTGTCCGCTTTTCGTTTTGATCATACGGGTATGAGGATATTCACTTTCAAACCGTTGGGAGTCTAGGCTTTGCAGTTGCGGGGCTTCAGAGTGTTAATTTGTTGGTGATACAAGCTTCCAACCAGACTCGTATCCGGAGATGACAATTCTAGTCAGCTTTGACAGAGACTAGGTGGGGTGGGGCCAGATGAAAGAGAGACTACAGTAGTTGGAATTAGATAGAAAATTACCATAAGTGCAGGTGCAGAGGATACATCCGGTGGGGTCCTAACAAAAAGGAGTGATATACCATTGTGTTTACAAGTTCCCGGATTCAAAGTTCGAAACCCGTACCTCTAGGCCGGACTGCTTTCGGCGGAAGAGAGCGATTGTACGTGGAAAGCGCCTGCACGAGGCCCGCAGCTTTGACACCGCGACCTGGCACCCGGCGTCTTTTATGACTTTGGCGTACTGCGTGGTGTCATCTGTTGTGCCAGAAGGGCCCGCACCGCCTGCGGGTATGGACAAGAGAAGCTGATCAGAAGTCCTCCTTTGCGGAAAGCAGAACGGGGTAAGGATACGAGTGCGTCTATTATCAGGTTCTCAAGGTACAAGCTCGATGTCCCCGCAGTCTCGCCAAGATGTCGTAACTACTCGATGATACCCTTAGGGAGTACTTTGAAATGCTTGAGTCGGTCGTCAATTTTAGAATCCGAAAACGTCTGAGAGGTGGCATCCCTTTGTTGTTTACAAGATCTAGCTTCTTGTGACGGTTGGACAGGGTCACACGCTGCCTGTCTACTTCACATGTG